GCTTTTTAAACTCCAGTGTTTAAAAGTGTTTTTTTTTTTTTTTTTTTTTTTTAAACCAATTGTATGGCTGTATCAAACCTCAAAGCATTTATAGGACTCTAGCTTGCACTGACTTTTCTTTCTCTTCCCAGATCCTGAGGCTAGTCACCAGGAAGTCCTCTGAACGGTACTGCCATTTGGTGTGGATTCCATTCGAGTTTGTTGTTGCAATGTGCTGCACGTTGAACTCTTTGTACTTGTATTCAAGTGAAAATAAAATTGTTTCAAAATGATGCCTCATGGTTTGGTGGAGACAATTTGCTGTATTAGACTGTGGGAACTTTAATGCATACACCAATAGACAAATATTTAACTTATCAAGTTGGCTCATGTTTGGTGCATGTAGCCATGGCAGGGTCGGCAACCCAAAATGTTGAAAGAGTTGGCACAAAAAAAACAGTGGTACCTCTACTGATGAACATCTCTTCATACGAAAGTTTCAAGTTGCAAAACGTTTCAACAGGAAAATATTGCCTCTTGTTCCAAAAGAAATTTCAAGATGGGAAAGGTAAAATTAGTCTGGCTTGCTATTCGCAGCTCCGAGTTTCCTGAACGCAACATGCTTATAGCTGCTCTGCCATTGGCTGTTACCTAACATCTTCCTGGCATCTCATTGGCTAAGAGGGGCCTCTACCGTATGAGCCTATGTGCGTATATAGATGGATCTGTGTCTATGCAGCGTCCTCGTCATTCGCCCCTCGTAAATGTGAATCACCCAGAAAAAGTGTTCACCAGTCAGGCGATCGCACTGCATTGCATTGGACATTTACGAAGAATTGTTAAAAGCAGACAAAAGCAGACGTTCATTACAAAATTCCAGGCAAAAACCACTACTGAGAAAGAACATGAACTAAAGAGGGCAAAAAACGATGAGGATGCAGTTAAGTGAAATGACCATCATTTTTATTCTTTACTCTATTCGTTGTTTTTTTACATGATGCATAACTCGCATTTATTGGGCAATGTTTCATATTTTGATGCATTTTTATGCTTTAGAAAACATTTATGTCTGAATTTTTAGGGGGCTTGGAACGGATTAGGGCATTTACATGGAAAACGCGTCTCGCCTTACAACATTTTCTAGTTTAGAAATTTCTTCCAGAACCAATTAATTTCGTAAGTAGAGGTACCACTGTACTAGTTAATGTCAAACTTGGCTTGAGTAGTTTAGGCTGACTGGATGTCACATGTCCTGTATGAGTTTGTGAATGCAATCTAACCTTCTGTTTAGTCCATGCATGTTAGATGAGTGCATGTCAGCTCATGCCTGAAATAGTGAGGATACGATGCACTTGGTGTAGGAGTGGAGAATCTGTGTGTTCTGCTTTCTCTTTGCTGAGGATACTAAGGTGTGAGTGGGTGTTGCCTAGACACAGATACGGTTAACCTGTTATGGCTTTCTAGTTGCAGTTAATGTTATAACCGACTCATAATAAAATGCTATCTTTAAGTTGGATAATTAAGACAAAGACGGCGCTAACAATTTAGGGTGAGGGGAATGTGTTTTTGTTCAATGTTGCATTGTGCTGTCAATAACTTCCAAATCATCGCACTAACCCTACACCCCCATGCTCCCCTTTTTCATTGCTGCACACATTTTTTTTTGCCTGTATAATCATACAGTGCAAATCGTTATTTTGACATATTCATGTTTATCCTTGTAATTGTTACCTTTTTTATGGAGGCTGGCATGCGAACAATTTGTCACCGACCTTTAATTGCTCAAACCCTCCCTCTGCTGGAGCCACTGCTTGTGTCCATCCCTCTATACGTTTGTCTGGATGCTCTTTCTTCCCTTCCCTACCCTTCCCTTCCCTTCCCTTCCCCCGCCCTCCTCCCTGCCCTTACAACTCCAGTTTCAGCCGTTTGTTCAGTTCATCGGGCGGCGCGTCAAAGAAACCTCCCGCTGAAGCCCCGGTCAACGTGAAGTACAATGCGCCCACATCGCACATTCAACCGTCTGTCAAGAAGAGGAGCAGCGCCTTGCAGCAGCTGCCCAGCGACAAGAGCAAAGCCTTTGATTTTCTCAATGAGGAGTAAGTCGGACACAAGAAATTGACTATTCATTTATATATTTACATAATGTACACAAATCAGCCAATTTTGAGACTTGACTCAAAAGAAAAGGTGAGCAAAAATACAAGTCAAATCAGTCAGGTTAACAAAACGCAAGTCAAATCAGTCCTTTTAACCTTGATTAAGAATTACAAAAGACATTTGTAAAAGAACTGTCGATATATACCACAGATTGGCAGTGGAGAGCATGGTGTCCAGGCGAGAACAGAAACGGGCACAGTATCAGCAGGTTAAAGCCCATGTCCAGAAAGGGGAAGAGGGCAGACTGCAGGCTTGTGGCTGGAGTCTCCCCAAGAAGCACAAAGTAAGTAGAAACGTTCCTTCAGCCTTTCCTTCATGCCACGATAGATTCTGAACCTCCCACTTGATTAGAAATGTGTTTATTTCTTCATGGAACCTCTTATTGTTGCTTTTAGCTAAAAAGAGTGCTGAACTATTAAGCATCCACCATTAATAGTTGGATTCTGTATCGTGTACGGTGAATCATATTTTTGGGGAGAGTTTACACTGTTGTGGATGAAGCTTTGGCAGCATCTTGAAATGTCCTTTTCTTTTTACAGAACAATGGTGGCCAAGAGGAGATGAAGGACCTACCTGTCCCGGTTTTCCTACGACCTTTAGACGAGAAAGATGCCTCGATGAAGGTATGTTCCTTTACTTTTGCTACTATACAGCTGATGTCTTGTGGTTTGACAGCTAACATAGGTTTCTTCTACACCAGGGGTGCCCAATATGTCGATCGCGATCGACCGGTAGCTCGTGGACTGGTCCCAAGTCGATCGCGAAGGGTTTAGAGGGGAGGAGGAAACCATCAGCACCCTGTCAGTCTCACTTTCTCAAAAAGTATTTTCAAAATAAAGTAAAATAATAAAGCAGGTCACCTTTAACCTACGGTGGCCCCTGACCTGCATCACCGGAAGTTGTTAGCGGTCAGCAGTCTGTAATTGCAGCTCGCAATCAGAGGTGCTGCGCTATATCTTTTATTGTTAATATTATTCTCATTCAGAGTTTGTTTCATGTATACTTCACCGGGGCCACTGGCAAAGAATAGGAATCTGAATGGTCGGGAGAAGCATTTTAAAACGGTACACATGAGCTACGATCGTTAACACGCTGCAAAAGTGCGTCGCATGCCTCCGCGTCAGGTCTCAATGAAGGTAGGCAGTGATTTCCTTTTCACAAACCCACAAACTCTTGTGTCTACATTATTTTTGTGTTTCATTCATCTTAGGGGCCGTTACGACTATTGCTCATCATGGCAAGCGCGTGTAAGTTCGTGCACATGCACGTGTGTGCTTAAACGGGTCGATCGCAGGAGGTTGGTTGATCGAAAAATAGATCTTTGGTTGAAAAATGTTGGGCACCCCTGTTCTACACAATCTAATGAGATTTTGAACAAGAGTAGCATATTTTCCTTTCCTTGCATCTGTATAAGGCAAGTTAGGTACTGTAGTCTACCATACTTGGAGGTCTTAATATGTAATTCTACACTACTCTACCACAGCAATACTAAACATAGTGTTACATTCAAATATAACTGACTGAGAGTTCTGCTGTCCAGTAAATACTTTGTGTGTATATTATACTATAGTAAAAATTCTCAAGTCTCTTCAGGAGATCACTGTCCAGAATAAGTAATGTCGTTACAGTACTTGTTCATGTGTTTGAGCGAACTTGTGTTTCTGTGCTTCAGCTGTGGTGTGCTGCTGGCGTGCATTTATCTGGAGGTAAAACCAGAGATGGGGGTTCCATCGTAGGAGCCAGTGTATTTTACAGCAACGTGTCAGGACCAGAGAGCCCCAAAAAGAAAACAGGATCTCAGAGCAGCTTGGAAAAATTGGATCAAGAACTCAAGGTTAGAGTCCCCTAGTGTTGGCTACAATCTTTTTCTCAAAACACAGAAAATAACAATGACTCAACTGAAAACATGCACACCTCTTCTGCTTGATATGAAAAGGAACAGCAAAAGGAACTGCGACAACATGATGAATTGTCATCGTTGGTGTGGATTTGTACCAGCACCCAGTCGACTACTAAAGCTGTTGTCATTGATGCTAACCAGCCCGGAATCATCCTTGACAGCTTCATTGTGTGTGATGCCCACGTCCTTTGTATCACCAGTGTTCCAGGTCTGTTGCCGAGTATTTTTATAGAACTAGTAAATTGTGTTTTTGTAACGTTAGGGAAAATACAATAGTGAATTTCTGCCGCAAAAATAAATAGATAAGACTTGCCCCGTGGTTGACTGGTTAGCACGTCCGCCGCACAGTGAAGGGTTCGATTCCAGCTCCGACCTTCCTGTTGTGGAGTTTGCATGTTCTGCCCGTGCCTGCGTGGGTTTTCTCCGGGTACTCCGGTTTCCTCCCACATTCCAAAAACATCCATGGCAGGTTAATGGAATACTCTAAATCGTCCCTTGGTGGGAGTGTGAACGCGGATGTGTGCTATGCAATTGCTTGGCAACCAGTTTGTGGTGTCCCCCGCCTTCTGCCCCAAGACAGCTGGGATAGGCTCCAGCACCCCCCGCGACCCTTGTTAGCATCAGTGGAGCAGAAAATGGACGGATGGATGGATCAATAGGACTATCGCGTAATTATGTGAAAACGTCAGAACATCTTATTCTTGTTATGAAGGAAACGTAATCACACGATTTCAAAATACAGTGGCTTGCGAAAATATTCGGCCTCGTTGAACTCTTTGACCTTTAGCCACATGTCGGGCCTGAAACATAAAGATATGAAATAAGATTTTATTTTGTTATCAACACCAAGTGGCACACAATTGTGAAGTGTCGACCCCGCCCCCTACACACACACTAAAAAGTGCGATATTATTCGGCCCCTTGACTGTGAGTGCAGCCAGCTCACTCCAGAAGTTCACTGACAATTGCAGATTAATCCATCGTTGACCTAAATGAATGATGATGATAAATTGAGTCCGTCTGTGTGTAATCTCATCTGAATATTAATGCACCTGCTCGGTGATGGTCTCAGAGGTCTGTTAGAATATTGGGGAGCACACAGCATCATGAAAAACACTCCAGACAGGACTGGGATAAAGTTGTGAAGAGGTTTTAAAGCAGGATTAGAATATGAAAAGATTTACACATCTCGTGAGGCATTGAGCCTGTGACGAAGGTTTACCGTCCTACAAGACAATGATCCTAAACATAAAGCAAAATCTACAACGGAACGATGCAAAACGAAACATATCCAGGTGTTAGAATGGCAAAGTCAAAAGTCCAGACCTGAATCTAATTGAGAATTTGTGGAACGATCTTAAAAAAAAAATCTGTTTACAAACACTCTCCATCTAACCATATTGAGCTTGAGAAAGATGGGACAAAAAAAAACAAATCAGTCTCTAGATGTGCAAAACTGATCGTCGCACCCTCAAAAACTTGTAACTGTAAAAAGATGGCTCTACAACGTATTAACTTAGGGTAGCTAATCACTTTGCACGACCCACTTTTCATTTTTGTAACAATAAAAAAAATTCAAATCTTGGATGAGTCCACTTCACATTTGCATGCCACTTAGGTTGTCTCCAGAATTTGTGCATTCTCTACCTTATTTAAATGACCAAAATCAATTTACCAACTTTTTAATCAGACATGAATATAGTAAATAAAAAAAATGAATCAATACAGTTTACCTGAAATGAAGAGAAAATTCAATCTAACACTTTTTCAGAAAACCGCAATTCCCATAGCCTTCTGGTCGAGACACTGATGGAGAATGCTTCATTTGAGGTCTCCACTTTGGAACGATCAGAAGGCCCTCAGCCAAGGCACTTTATAATAATGAGTGCACGAGGCGGGATTAAAGAACGCGGCCCATACGTAGCCCACTCCAGTTTCTAACGGGTGGAATGGAATTTCATCTGAAAGGGTGGTCATTGACACTTATTTTTTTCAGTTCACTAACAAAGGTGCCATGCCGTGCCATGTCCTCAAATGAGTCCCCCATTTATTTTCCCAGATTGATCCACTACATTTTTAAACATTTTTTTTCAGGTGCAAGAGAGACGGACTATCCAGCAGGTGAGGAACTCACCTTGAGTTCAGAGACTGCGCCTGTCGAAAAGGCCTGTTTGTCCAACAGCAGTAGCAGCACAGCCAGCAGTGATGGCGTGCTTGGAGGCATCACTGTCGTAGGCTGCACAGCTGAGGGAGCAACGGCTGTCCCTCAGACAGCAGACGGTGCAGGCAAAGAAAACGGAGAAATGGGTAAGCGAGTTCACCTTTTTCATCGCCAACTCCCCTTTACTAACGGTTGTGACTTTTGTAGAAACCACTGAGGAGAGTGGAGGGTCTGCCCGTCAGAGAGGAGTATACAGTGAATATGCCTTCACTGATCCTTTGGGGCTGCAGCAGACAGCAGAGGCTTCCACCAAGTCCTCTCAAAGGTAATCTGGTGAATAACCCAAAAGGTGTGTCAATAAACGTCAAAGTGATGTAAAAGTCTTCACGTCACTGTCTTCCGATGGTTGATTTCAACGTTTAGATAATATGAATGCAATGCAACTATGCTATCAGCGTGATTAACCCTTTCATGCCACCCTGTAACCTGATGACATGGTAAGCTGTCCATTGTATTTAATAACCACTGTCCCTGAAAGGGTGAAGAACAACCCCGGTCATCAGCCGCAAGCCACTAGCATTGCACCGGGCCTAATCTGCGCTGCAAAATGATCAATCGACCACAAAATGGAAGCGGATTAGTCTGCCAAACGGTGGAGCTGCTGTCCTGGTTTTGCACAGAATTTAGCGAATGTCCTTCAGCATTCCTGTGTCAGTCCTGCCGTTTCTATTGTAAGGCGCTCTGGTTGGACTATTCATCTGAGCTGCTTTGCATGTGCAGACCGAGTGAAGTCCACATATTTAAAGGGATTCTCCAGATATGTTCACCATTTGCAGCAGTAAAAAGTTTATACTTTGTTGATTATTAATTGAATAATCTTATTTTTCATGTACTTTTAATAACTTTAGAAACAAGTTTAAAAAATAATATGGCTGGCAGCCATGTTCATTAAGCATGTCATGTGATAAGCACGTGTAAAAGTTGGACTGCACAGAGATAGAGACACAGAACTGCACTGAGTGGAATACATCCAAAGTTTTAATCCTGAAAAAAATGAAGCCTTATCATTTCCAGTTAATGCTTAAAAAAAAAAAAAGTCTCCTGAGTGAGATTACAATTTTGATTTGAAAGATGCAAAATACACTTTGGAGAACTCGTAGACCAAGAAGTGTGGCAGACATGTCTGCCACACTTCACTACACAAGCATGGACAATGCCGTAATTACTGTTCTCCTACCTTGCGTGCATGAAGATCAGAGTGCTGCTTTTGGTCTGGTGTCTCAGCCACTTAAGATAAGAAAACCTTTATTTGTCTCACAATGGAGTAATTCCCAATTTACAGCAGCAAAATTATGAAAAGGAGAAGTAGAAGAACAAAAGTATATAAATTATCAAATGTAAATATAAGCATATTAAAAATGGGCGAGTGGGGGTAAGTCCAGGTTTTCACGTCTGTCTATTCAATAGCCTGACAGCAGTCAGCAGGAATGAGCGGCGGATGCATCTTGCAGTGCGGGTGTATCAGTCTCTGGCTGAAGGAGCTGCCCAGTGCTGTCAGGGTGGCCTGGTAGGTGTGGGGGGGTCTGTCCATCATAGCTTTTAGCTTGGCTAGCATCCTCCTGTTGCCCACCTCCTCCAGAGTGTC